TAGCTCATTTGAATAAGTACTTGCCTGGCAAACACAAAGGCCTGAGTTCAAAAACCCGGCTCCGCAAAAAAAAAAAAAAAAAAAAAAAAAAAAAAAAACAAAAAAAAGAGTAATTCGGGCCTGTAAGGAAAACAATTAATTTTTCTGAAATGCCTATAGGTATAATGCTGAGAAACTTAAACCTGAGCATTTGAAGCACACATTTTTATGGTGGTTGCTGCTGTTTCAGAAGATGCACTAAAGGCTGGGGAGATAGCTCAGGGTCTAAGCACCTATATGGCAAGCACAAGGACCGGGTTCAATCCCTAGTACCATATGCTGTGCCAGCCACTGAAACTGGGCATGGTGATACACATGGGACCCTGTACCAAAAAAAAAATAATAATAATAATTTAAAAAGAAGGCACAGTGGTAAAATAGATTATGCCAAATGGTATTTTCAATTCAAATTTAGAGCTGCAGGCTATTAATTTAACTTTCCTGATTGCATCTCTGCCTTCCTTTCTTTCTACTAAAAGTTTCAATTCCAATGACAGGATCAAGCTTCTTATTTGCTTTATCTCACAATAAACAACAATCTTAAAGTAACAAATGAACACACCCAGGACTCAGTACCATTCCTCAACCACTTAAGATGTTTTCAGAGTCTTCCCCACCATTTATGATGCCTCATTAGAAATGTACAAATTATTACAAAATGATGCTTTCAAGCCACTCAAAATAGTTCTGTGCATGGTTACATCAATAACCTGCTTGGTTTTTTGTACTCATTTTGCTTTAGATTTTAATGGTAGCCTTTCAAATTTATTTATTATCATTCGTATAACTATTGTGGCAAATGTCTTCATGGTGTGAAAATCAAATCCACAAGGAAGAAGATATTCAGGGGGAATCTAGCTCCTGTCCCTCCCCTTTCTGTCTTGTATCTTCATTCTTTCTTCAATTATCTGTTCACTTTATTATTGATGTATTCTTACATTTAAAGATAAACTTCAGGGCTGGGCATGTTGCTCAGCAGCACAGTGTTTGCCTGGCAAGCACAAGGCCCTGAGTTTGATTTCTGGCACCAATCTCCCCAAACAAACAAACAAAACACCTCAACTCAGTTCACTTGTAGGAAAATGGATGTTCCTTGACATCATAATGCTAAGGGGAATAAATCAGACATACAGTTTCAGTATCACACGGCTTCTCTTATATTAGAACACAAAATATAAATAAAGAGCAAAATAAAAGAGAAATGGTAGAAAGTTGGGAGGTAGATATTCCTTAAATGGTAAGGGGATCAAGTGGTGAAGCGAGAGGCGAGAGAGAGGACACCAAAAGGAATTCAGATGCCTGTGCGTATGTGTCAACTCCACGTGGGGACAGTACACATTATTTATTATCAACATGGACTAATGAAAATAATTTTATAAAAATATAAACAAGCTGCATATGAAAATAATAGCTATATATTATATACACAAAATAACATTTATACTATAGTTGTTTTAGGCAAAAGGTTATCCAAACATATTTAATGATATTTTCTGTTGCATGTACTTTATTTTTTTATTTTATTATGTTTTGGTGGGTACCAGGGATTGAACTCAGGACCTTGCGCTTGCCAGATAGGCACTTATGCCACTGAGCCATCACCCCAGCCCTGTGTGTACTTTAGACAGCTAGAAACATCTTCAGTGTCCCTTTAATAGCACTGCAGAGCCAATCTTCATTCATTACTTCAGCCACATAGTACTCTCTTGGATGAAGGAACCATCCTTTATTCTACTGCTCTTCTTTTGAAGAATTTTTTTGTCAATCTTTTACAAGTATTACTGTAAAAGAAGTCTTGTGCATATGTCTATCATGTTTTTGCCAGTATATCTTTGGTATAGATTTTAGGAAGTAAAACTGCAAGGTTAAAGAATCAATGCATCTGTTCTTTTGCTAGATAAATATTGCCAGATTCCTTTCCAGAGAGATTATACCAGTTTGCACTTGCACTGGGAACGTGTGAGTGTCACTTTCCTCACAGCCTTGCTAACGAATAGGCTACAGACAGCGTTTCCTAACCAGGTGAGCCACGCTACCTTCCGCGTGCTTCTCCTTTCTCTCAGGAAATAATTTATAAATTAAAGCAAAGGTGGAGCAATGGTTTAAATAACTTTTTTCCCCAAAAAAACTGTTTAAGAGTAAATTTCTGACAGGTATCTCGATGATCCCTACACAGTCTGTGTATTTCCTAAGCACTAGATATTCTTCTATGTAAGTGACAAGGCAAACAGGAAGGTAATATTAACACCTTGCAGGAAATAATAGTCACGTCCTTCTTGTGTCTCAAACTGTTCTTTGTGGGAAAGGGATCGAGGCTCACTCACATAGTTGTTTTTCCTGTTTCTTTTTCTTTCTTCTTGTATTACATATATTTGGTACGGGGTCTCGCTACATAGCTCGGACTCATAGTGATCTTCCTGTTTCAATCTCTCCAGTGCTGGGATTGCAGGCATGTGCAACCATGCCTGATCTCAGTTGCCAGATCAGTGCCCCCGGGGGGCAGGGCTGGCACAGCATGTGGTGTCGGGAATCGAATCCCAGTCCCTGAGCTTGTCTAAGCAGGCATCTAGTTAGCTGAGCTATCTCGCTGGCTTTTCCATGTCTCTTTAATATATTGTTTTCCCAATGTTTTCTTCATCTTCATGACCTTGACTCTCTTAAATACAGTTATTTTATTGAATGTTTCTCAATTTGGATTTCTTTGCTTTTTCCTCATAGTTAAATTCACATTTGCACAGATCAGATATCATGATGTCATATTTTTACTGCTTGTCCGGTGGCACAAAACATAAGTTTGTTCTATTACTGATGTTAGCTTGTCAATTCTTAGTTGTGTTATGTCTGAAAGGTTTCTTCTTTATGATTTTTCTCTCTTCCCCTTTGTAATTAATATTTTCTTAAGAGGTAACCTACAACAGGCTATCTCCATCACATCTTCATTCGCTAGTTTCAGTATTGGTTGGTGTTTCTAAATCATGACTAAATGTAAACTAAATCATGACTGTGATACTTTTGAAATAATGATTTTTTTTCTAATTTTATCTTTTAAATTTTTAATTACACTCTTGCTATAAGGAATAGCCATCTTTTTTCTCATTTATTTATCCATTTATTTATGTCATTAAGGATTTATGAATTTCTATTTTATTCTAAGGCTATCATCCTTTTTATCATTATTTACTTTAATGTTAACATTGTTACAGGTTTAGGCAGCAAGGGCCCTTTAAATTGACTTGAGTTTCTTTTTGATGCGTCACCCTTTTTCTTTGAACAATTCCTGATTTAATCTTATGACAAGATGTTCCAGCTTCTATGCTACCGACAGCCCAGCTTCAGCCAGTCACTTCCCTCAGGAATCTTCCTTCTCTGCAGGGGGGAAGAGAACATGGAAACCAAATCTGGCCAGCTGAGGTGCTCATCATCTTTGTGTTTCGCTGCTTGCCTGCCCTCTCTGAAAGAAGAATTAGAGGCCATTCGCATAAGCAAATAGACCACCAAGCATATGTTTGTCTGTCTCTATTTAGATTCTCATATCCTTGCATATTGGCGTTTGTCTTATTTCTCTGCCTAGAGCACCAGTATCTCCAACTCTAAGCCTCAAGTCTAGTTTAGCTTGTTTTCTGCATTTGTAACTTCCATGTTTCAGTGAGAAGCCTGGCTCTTATTAACCTCAGTAGATCTCAGCATCAGTCCTGCTTGGAAGTGACCAACCTTCAGGCATGGCTAATGCTAGCGCGACTCCCAGCCTCCCTCCCACGCAGACGCATCTGTCACAGTGCTGAGAGTCCAACACCTCCCGGCAGGCCACAGCTGCTGAGGGGTCTCCTGCCCCGGCCCAGGCTCTGCGGCATCAGAGCCAAGGACACTAAACTCCTTTCCTCCTACTCGGGCTTGAACACCCCGCGGCAGCCCCTTTGCCCTTCCTGCCCTCTGTGTGACACCGAGCCTGCTCAGTCCCCTAGTAGCTTTAGGACTGAATAAGACAGGAAAATGGCAAGGGCAACCAGCCAGGAATCAAGAGAGAAGGAGGTGTGGATGAAATGTACCTTCTCTTACTACGGGTAAAACGAGCAGCTTTTTCAGGCACTTACAGACCACTTATGTTTCCGTATTTGTGTCTGTGAATTGTAAATATTTAGCAGCTTCTTATGCAGTTAATTGCTATTCATCTGTTAAGGAACTTTTTGTTTTTATTATTTTAAAGAGAAAAAAGAGAACAATGACAAAAACACAGCAACATAAAACAATAAAAATGGTACAGAATTTCAAAACAAGAACAGAAAATTAACAGTGGTTGTTATGTTACCTATTGTTATTGTCAAATTTGTTGCACAGACTACCAGAGGTAGGCATGCAAGATTGTTCAAGCAATTAAACATTAACTTTTCTGTTAAGGAACTTTTTCTGTGGTAAGGATATTAATCTTTTGTCTGTAAGCTTTAAATGTTTTCTGAATTTGTCAGTTTTTCCTTGGCTTATTTTTTTTGACACATACTTTATTTATTTATTTGTTTGTTTGTTTGGTACAGGGTCTCACTATGCAGCTCGAACTTGTAGTGATCCTCCTGTCTCAGCCTCCTCAGTGCTAGGATTACAGGGGTGCGCCACCATACCAGGTTTTAGAGCACCAGCAAGCCCAGGGTTCCTGGGCTGGCATGGCATTCAGTATCAGGGATCAAACCCATGTCCTTGCCCTTGCCAGGCAGGTGCTTAGACTGCCAGGCTATCTCACCAGCCCTTAATTTATGTAACTTCTTTTCTTTTCTTTTCTCTTTTCTTTTCTTTTCTTTTCTTTTTTCTTTTCTTTCTTTTCTGCCTTCAGGTGTTTAATCAGTTTTGAGGTATAGCTTCCTTTTCTAGATGCCTTGGTTGCTTTTTGTTGATCTCCAACTTGGAGGGGCATTAGACTGTGGCCTTGAGGGGACAGTCATCTGGCTCAACTCTGTATCCTCACATTTTAGCTGGAGTGCAAGAACTGGAGTCGCGCTTCTTGGTACCTGGAGATTTGCTAATTTTGACAGGGAACAAAATGCAAATGCCGTGTGATGCCATTCTGCTTGACGGCAGCTGCGTGGTAGATGAAGGCTTGCTTACAGGTACGGCTCCCCTGCACAGCTTGCGGTCTCTACGGGCGTCTCCGACTCCTTGCTACACAGTCCCAACTCTCTCTCTGCCTCAATGGCAGTGTGGACCTGTCTGCTACAAAGTGTGGACCTGCTTTGTGACCTTCCTAGTACCATAAATGCCATTTCATCCTGATATGGATGGATCCAAGAGGTCAAATTAAAGTATTTTTTTTTTTTTGTACTAAGCTCACTACAGTCAAATTTTTTCTACTGTTTCATGGACAAATGATCATAGAGACCTTTCACTTTACCTAACAAATTACATCACTCATTAGGTCTTTCAAAACTGTCTGGTTTTCCTATCTCCTTTTTCAATGTATAGTATACCATCAAATGAACTTGGTAGGCCTGATGACTATCAAAGACGTCCTGAGACCCACAGGATCAAGTCCAAGCTTATCCTGGTCTGACTTAAAAGTACTAAAAAATTCATGGTGAAGCATTTGAAAAATGTGCTGCTTTGAAAATGCACAGTGGGTGTTTTGGTCTCAGCCCCCATCCTCACCAGACATCAGCTCATCCTATGTACTTTCTCCTTTCTCTTACACATAGTATGATGCCAAGCAGTTAAATATCTTGCTATCCTCCTCTTGTCAATGGTGCCTGCAGAAAAATGTTGGAAAACTCAGCTGTGTCACACGTCAGATTCTCCATATCTCAGCTCCTACACAGCTTACAGAACCCACTATTTTCTTCCTGCTCCGTATTCTAGTCTGGACCATTTCTTACTCCGTAGTGAGTTTTATTCAACCTATTTTAACATCTATGCTGGTTCACAATACTCACGATAATGTGAAATTCTATTTATTGATTTATAAGCCTGAGTTACATTTATTTTGCATCCCTGATACAGTAGGGTTGTTTCTACCACATAAATGTCAGTGATGTGGAGGTCAGGCCTGATGGACATGAGTGGACGCATCCCACCCCACAAAACGAGATGCTTGTTTTCTGTAGGAGAAAGTATCCCCGTCACGAAAACTCCATTACCCAAGACAGATAGCCCTTTGCCCTGGAAAGCACAGAGTGAGGCGGATTACAGGCGGCACATCCTCTTCTGCGGGACAGAGGTGATCCAGGCCAAGCCAGCTTGCTCCCGGGTGGTGAGAGCAGTGGTGCTGCAGACGGGTGAGTGGCTCAGCCTCTCTCTTACTGTGGATGAAATATTTCTGCTCAGCTTGTCTACTGCCTTGAATTTATTAGGGGAGGATCAATCTTTGGTTAGCAAATGAAATATATGTAAATCTAGTGTTTTATATGCCAATTTTCCAATTGAACTATGGCATATGCATAATGATATAGATGACAGTAGTCACTATTTATGTGTTTTGCAATATATAAACTATTTCCACACATCAAACCAGCAGAACAAAAATGATGAAGGTCCCGACTCTTTGCATGAATAGGGTGAGGCCATGCAATGCAAATGAAGGTCTTCAGAATGACCCAGGTAATGACTGACGGAGCTGGATTGGAACTTCAGGTCTTATATGTATTTTTTATGTAGAGATTGAAGTTGAAAACTTAACACTGGAAAATGTCAGAAAATTTAGTTCATTGGTAGTTTTTGGAAGCACTTCATTTTAATTCAAATAAGTATGGGTGTATACTCATAAACCATTTCCTTAGAATAAGTCATATTTAGGAAAGCTGTACTCTGTCCTCAAGACAGTGGTTTCCTGTCTCTGGGATATATTGAAATTGAAAGTAGGGGCATGGGAGGTGGCTCAGTGGAATAAGTGCTTCCCTGGCAAGTGCAAGGGCCTCCCGTCCGTCCCTGGGGAGAAGAAAAAAAAAAAAAAAAAAAAAAAAGAGAAACAGGCTTTGAGATGGATAACATTACTCCACTGTAGCAGTTACATATTTCCTGAATTATTCCCTTTGGGTTTGAACATTGTTTAAACATCCCAGATACTTAAAGGCAACATTGAGGTTTAGCAGAATATTAACAATAGGATTCATCATCCTAAAAAAATGGGTGTTGTTTTCCATTTCAGGATTCAACACTGCAAAGGGGGACCTTGTACGATCCATTCTTTACCCCAAACCAATGAGTTTTAAGCTCTACAGAGATGCCATAAGATTCCTCTTGTGCCTCGTGGGCACGGCCACCATCGGCATGGTCTACACTCTGTGTGTCTACGTGCTCAGCGGGGTGAGCTGTCTTTGCTGTCTCATTACAAGAACACATTTGCTCTTTGCATATTGGAGGATCTACGTGTTGAGCTTAGTCATGGACATGGTTTGCGAACCTAGGAAGGAAAGCCACACACTGAAGCTTGCTTCTAGGCTCGGTATAAACAATCAGTCACTCAGTTCCAAAACAACCATGAGATAGAGGGATAAAGTGATTGGTTGACTGAATACCAACATGCTTCTACTCTTGAGCATTTCGTATGATTTTTTTCATTTTCAATATGAAATATGTTTCAATGAATTACTGTTTTATATCTACTAAAATGAGTAATTTTACATAAAACCAGATGTCTAAATTTAGTGAAGCCTTAGTAAACTGGTACATTCTGGTAGCAATGTTGTTACAAACTTTTAAAATTATACTTTGTGAAGAGATATGCAGCGCCAGAAACATGGTTATACTCTTCCATCCTCTGGTACCATTTCTCAGAATTTGACCTATAGAGAAAACAGAGAAAGAAAAAAGTCCCATCCACAAAGATGGCCATTGTTGACTGATTGTAACAGCTGCAGGTGACTGACTGTCTTCCAGGAATCTCCAGAGGACGTGGTGAAGAAAGCCCTCGACGTGATCACTATTGCAGTTCCTCCTGCCCTCCCGGCTGCCCTGACGACCGGCATCATCTATGCCCAGAGGAGGCTGAAGAAGAGAGGCATCTTCTGCATCAGCCCCCAGAGGATCAATGTGTGCGGACAGCTAAACCTTGTCTGCTTTGACAAGGTACATCAATTCCATCAGCCCTCTCATCTCCCTGTAGATCATTGTCACGATCAGGGATAGGTGCTTTGATCTTTCCTTGTGACACAGAAAGCATAGGGTGAAGGGAGCTGACTTCCATTTTTTTCTCTGATGAATGTGCGACCTGGAAAACAGTGAGTTTTCAGATTCTGAGAAGTGGGAATACATGCTGAGTTGGTAAGTTGTTTAAGGTCTGTGCAGTCCTGATAGCCTACAAAAAAACAATGAATTAAAATAACATCCAGTCCTTTGCAGTCAAAACCTTCACAAAAAGAAGTAAAGCCTTTACTGTGGTTAGGGCTGGGTTCTTAATGCTAAGAATATTGCCTAGCATAGAGCCAATGCTCAAAAGCCATTTATTGATTAAATGAATAAAACAAGAAGAGTGTATGGAATTGTCTTCCTATGAGATTTGGCTACAAGAAAGCCTCACTGTGGCTGAAGGTTCCCATCTGTAATGTATTGTTTAAAATTATTCCTGGTTATTTGTGTTTGCCAACCAGCCTCGTACCCAGTCTTCTCTTGAGTGTATCTGTTTCTCTGTGCATGTGAGTTGGGATGAAGGTGGACTGTCATGGCTAAGAGAGGAAGGAGGGGCTCATGGGCAGGGGAACATGGGGAAGCTCCGCCGCAGGTGAATGGAGACCGTGTGGCTCAAGGCAAGGCAGGACCCTACCATTGGAGGGAGGCAGCTAGGGACCTTTAGCCAAAACAGTAGTACTACTCGTTAGGCAGCAGAGAGCCATTGAAAGTCTTTGTTGCCCTCATTGACTTCTTTTTATTTCCTTATGGTGGCAATTTATTTATACAATCAATTTTACCACTTAAAGGACCTTATGAGATCTTATAATGATCTTTTAAGATCTGTTTACTCTGCCATCACACGACAGCCACCTTGAGAAATCTCTAATCCTGCCCAACTAAAACTCTTTACCCATTAAACAGTACATGGAAGGTTTTGATGCCTGAGAATTAATAGGGTCAGAACTTTATCTTATAATTAGTGGAAAACCCAGAAGATATACTAAACACTGAAGTTTCATGTGGCTTTTACCACCATTTGGTACTATTTTTTGTCACACTAGCATCATATGGAGGGACAGGCTACACATATGAGGTCTTATCTGTGGACTTGGATGAGGGATAAGAGTAGAATAGGCAATCATAGCATAAATTTAAATGAAAATGAGCTTTTACTGCATGTGACATATTAAAATAAGAACCTTATATCATCTCTTTTAATCTTCACGAGGACTCTATGTGTCTATGGCCACATTGCAGAAAAGAGATTTAATATTTAGAGAGATTAAGTAATTTTTTTCACTACAAAGATGGTATTTGAACTTTGTCTGAACTCAGTCATTGTAATGCACCAAGCAAATAGCAACACACACCTTTTTCCCAGTTACCAAATAAAAACAAAAGTTTCTTTACAATCTTTTCACTCATAGTGTCCTGTAGGTAAAAATTACACTTCATTGCTTATTTCTGGTGACATATTTTTAACTGTACTGTAAACCTGGGACTTGCCCATTTTATAGCTCTTGCCGCCTCAGCAAGTCCTTTCCCATCCGTTCACTCTACCGCCACACCCTCGGACACTCTCGGGAGGCATGTGAGGGAGGACTGCTTTCTTCTTTTTATCACTAAGGACACCAAAGTTCACAAAGTCACCCAACTGCTTGGACGTCCCTGAGGCATCGGTCCCGACTGTAGATAATCGCCTTATTGTGGCTGTCATTACGGTGCCCATTTTGCCAACATGCTTGTGACACGAGCTTCTCTATGACAGCATCTATTCCCTCTGGCTATGGAGTCAGCGGCTCTGCAGAGTAACCCATTTTGTTTCTGTGTAGACGGGCACCCTGACTTGTGAAGGCCTGGATCTCTGGGGAGCTGTGCCTTGCGACAGGAACGGGTGAGTGCCTCTTGCTCAACGCAGTGCTGGATCTCTTTTTCCAGAATTCTTCCTTTACTCAAAACTACTAATGGACACCCTGGAGCTTTGGATTTAATAAAGAATGACTGCTAAAGTTTATTCATTGAATTTCTCCTCTTAATTCTTCCAAAAACATGTACACACAACCTCTTAACCCCAGACTCTGCTCTCGGCCTCATTCCATTCAAAAACCTTGGAGACAAAGGGAAAGTTTTGGCGACACACACAAAGCTTTGCTGAAATGTCATTTGTTTTCAGCACATCTGTCAGCAGCCTGATGCTGGACCAGTGTAAGTAACAGACAGTTCAGGGCACCGTGCTTCAAGGCAGTGACATTCCTTGTACAGACTGCAGCCTTTTTGATCAGGGTCAGGAGGAGGCTGAAGGTGCAGCTTGTACTTTGAATTTCTGGGAGAGGAACCCGTTCGTGACTATGGCTACTGTTCCCATTTTCCCTGGTATTCTGATTCTGGGAACTCTTGCTTCTGGGTTCCAGAAAAATCTGTTCTTCTTCTTCTTTTTAAATTTTTTTATTTTTTATTTTTTTTTTTTTTTTATTGCAACAGGAGGCTCATTTAGGCAGTTTTCAACTTGGTGTGGCAAAGATGAACAAGTCACCCTCTTAGCCCCCTGGTGGCCATGTGTGAGTCCGCTCTTCCACCTGTGCTTCTCCCCAGCATGGCTCCAGTGGATCAGGAAGTGTGGTGCATTGGACTCTTAGGTTTTGTTTGAAAATGAAAGCATTTTCCCTCCAGCACTTAGACCCTATGGCACAAAGCATTTTATATATGAAAAGTAGACTGCAATTCTTTTCCATTAGGCAGAGACTGAGTAATTTATTCACAAAATATTTTTAGCTGCTCATGGTGAGTAGTACATTGTCACATTAAACAGCACTCATAAACAAATCTCTTTTATGGGCTAAAAAAATAATCCTGGTGTGTCTAACCATTTTAGTCTACAGAAGGAAGTTTTTATTAATATTCAACCTCCCAGCATTCTTTTCATTTATTTTTTTCCCTGGAGGATGAATTTGAATATACACCAGGTCTTCTTGTTCATTAGTGTTCTTCTTTGCCAGTTTCTACCAAAAACGTATGCATGTGCACAAATACGAAGGTATCTGGAAAGAAGGCTGTGCTTTCCCAGTTGTTTCCCTCACGTTGTAGCTGTGCGTCAGGAAGCAGAGGAGATGCACGGTACGCTCCCTGGAAGGCGCTGCGTGCGTGCGTCTGACGCTTCCGTCCTGCTTACTGAACCGATAACACGCTGGTCCCCAAGCCCTGGGGGACTTTCAGATTTCTGAAAATTCAAACTTATTACATTAAACATATAATAAGCTCATTACATTTAAAGAAAAGCAATAGATACAAGGTTTAGGTTATTTGCCGATCAATTAGATCTGCCGCTCTTGCTTCCTCCCTTTCCTTTTCTCTTTCTTTCTTTCTTTCTTTCTTTCTTTCTTTCTTTCTTTCTTTCTTTCTTTCTTTCTTTCT